AGTGTGTGGGAGGTACTTTTCCCTTTTCTTTTCCCCTATCCACTTATCACACAACCCCATCCCACCCCCTCTTTACAAACTCAACCCTCACTTATGACAGCCATAATTGACAAGCGATAAATGAAACATTGACAAAAGAAATGACTTTAAATCGTGCACAACTTTTTTTTTAAACACCGTGTGGTTAAGTTTTAATGCTGAGACAACAGCCGTGGGCAGTGTAGACACGGCCTGATGGAATTCATGATGAGGCAGCCGAAAGCTGGGGGTAACACGTGACCTCTCATTGGGTCCGGCCTGCCCGAGACCTTTCTGATGTTGCCACCCAATCTGACCGCCCGCGGCCCGTTTTTTTTTATCCACATGCTAATCGTCTAATGGGCACGTGACGTGATGGACGTTGTCTTACTCATCTCTGTCACGTGATGGATGACAGACGTCCTACTCACCACTGTCACATGATGTGATTGACGCTGTCCTTATCACCTCACATGCGTTGTCAGTAGTTTTGTTATTGGAAAGTAGACTGGTAGCGTATGTCGCTACAAATCTATTGAAAATAGGTTCGAATCTCGAGTAAATCTACAGGACAGTTTAGCTTCAACTGGTTCTCTGTAGATAACGTTGTTAAGGGGTATATGTAATAACGAGAACACGGCATTACCCTCACCCGTTAATTACCCCCAGGACATCCCCCCCGTCATTACCCCCCCCCCCCGGAGTAATTATCCCTTGTCAATTACCCCTCGCCCAGTAGGACATTACCCCCCCCCCCCCCCGGTCATAGCTTAAGGTTCACTTAAGGTTAGAGCTAGGGTTTGAGTTTGGGCTAGGTCTCGGGCTAGGGTTAGGGATAGTGTTAGGGTTAGTATCAGGGTTAGGCTTAAATCAATGTCTAGAGTTTGGTTTGGTTTTGGGTTAATTTTAGGGTGAGGTGAATTCTTAGGTTTTACGTTTTTGTCTTAAGGTTAGGATTAAGGTAATATATAGATATAGAGTTGGTGTTAGAATCAGGATTCTATCTTGGTGGATGGGGGGGGGGGGGTCGGGGGTAATTCCTCAGGGGGGTAATTGACGGGGGACGGGGGGGGGGGAATGTCAGGAGGGTAATGTCCTGTAGCCGTAATAAAGCCGTCAGGGTTGTGTTTTCAGGGGACCATTTTAGAACTGACAAGTTATACGGTAGATAGAGTATCTTTTTTTAACAAGTTAAATGAAGGGTTTCAGTGGTCACTACTGTATATAAAAAGCCTTTCATTTTTTAAATTTTATTATTGTGTTTTAAACAAAATCATAATTTTTAAAGTCATACCAATTTTTTTTTATATTAAACAAAAACGCACCATATAAACGCTATTGCTTTTACGTTTGTCAAAACACGAACCAAAAAAAACTTCAACATTTAAGGTGTGTAAAGTCATACAGTTTCGAACAATAAGTAAACAAAAAACTCACCATATACACGCTGTTGCTCTTCAGCTTAGCGTCCCCGAACACCGCCACCAGCATGTTGTCTATGATGGTCGGGAACTGACAGACCAGGAAAACCACGATGACCGCTATAAGCATCACGGTCAGGTTGTGTTCTTTCCTCGCCGAGGCGCACATGGACTGGTGCATGGACTTTGAGTTCTTCACCGCCCGTATCAGGCCGATGTTCATGACGAGGATGATGATGAAAGGCAGGAGGAACATGAAGAAGAGCTGGGAGTAGATGAGGTACAGGTGCTGGAATGTGGGGTCCGAACCAAACGCTGTTTCCTTGTATCTTATCACTCGTTTGACTTGTGGGATGACGGACGTGTTGGTGTTGGGTGTTGTTGAGCTAGAGATGAAGTCGACCATGCTTTGAAACGCGACGGTGTCATTGTTTCTGAAGGCGTGCGCGGAGTGGTTGTAGAGGGCGGTGTGGTTGAAGTGTGGCGAAGGGGTGGGCGTGGTCATGGGAGGATTTTCTTCTACGTGGTGGACGTGGTAGTGGAAAAACCTGGGGATGTTGTAGACGATGGACCAGACGAAGATGAGGATAATGGCCCGGATGGTTCTGGACTTGGTGCACGTGTTGGCCACGTGCAGGGGTCGGCAGACGGCGATGAACCGCTCGACCGTGAACCCCACGCAGGTGTAGATTGATCCCATTTGTGCCGCTAGAGACAAGGGGTATCCTACCGGGATGGTCATGGACGAGATGGACTCGTAGTCGTGGAGAAAAGGGGCGTACGGCGCCATGGCGGGGAGGCAGAAGTAGAAGAGCATGCCGAGGAGGATGGCGTTGTCGTAGATGGCGAGCGAGAGCAGGTAGTAGGAGGTGGAGGAGCGCATCTGGCGCCGCTGGAGCACGACGATGGACAGCGTGTTGCCTAGGAACCCCAGCATAGCCAGCAAGCTGCCCAGGACGCCCCAGACGACGAACTTCAAGACGTCAGAGCCGGGGTCAATGTGGTGTTCGTGGTTTACCGGACTCTCCCCGGGCACGGCTGTTGTGGCCAGGAGGAACACGCTGAGGTTGCCGCCCTTGACAAGTCCACTTGTGCCGTTGACCCTTGAGTCATGGGTCAACGAGTTGGAATCTATAAATAGACTCATGATTTTTAACTCCAGCTGAATGTTTGAATTCAAAATGGTCTAGTTTAGTTTTAAGACTTTCAATTTTCCAGCGACGGAGTAAAACATTATTAAAAACTTTTTTAAATTTTTATTTTAAACAACCCGTCTGAAATATTTTTATCCCATCCGAAAGACGTGTAGCTTCAAACAGAATCAATCCAATACAAAAGTAGATCCCTTCAGTGAATGTTGAAGGTCATTCCGTCAGCGTCTAATCCTTCCACCAAACTATAATCCCCCGTAATCCCATCTGCCCTGTTAACCTTGTAGGACAATCTGTTGAAGAAAAAAAATACATCATTTACAAACACATCTCGTAAAGAAAAAACATGACTTAAAAACTCATGACTTTAAACTGACTTTAAAAGCTCTGACTTTAAACCACCACCATCTTATGTAAAATACAGCTTGACTTGTAACCTCCTACCCCCGCCTCAATTTCTTGAAGATCACATGACTTAAAACTACTTTTTTAAAGTTATGGTGACTTAAATTCCATGTGACAAAAATCGTTAAGAATGTCATGAACTATATTGTCTATCGGCTTTTTATATTCTCTCAGACGTCCACTTTGAGTCTGCAACATCGGGCTTTCCCACACGCTCAAAGAAACTATCAAACAGACGACTGTAGGAGATTATCACTATCGCTCCGTTTAATATTTGAGCTGAAACGAAGGATTAAGGAGGAAATATTTTTTTTAAAGTTTTGTTTTCAAGATCAATAATTTATTGTGGATACGACTCTTTCTGATTATTCTTGTAAGCTCCCGACAGGGAATGGTGTAAATCCGCACATACAGATAGGGAGAAATAGAGTAGTTTGACAGTGTCATCTTTTAGGGTATTTGTTTCTCTGGGTAATCTTGGCGTATTGTCTTTTTAAATAATCTCTCGCTTAAGTAACAGAAGTCTGGTTGTTTTTGTCATGGATCAAGTCACTTGTAACCTTATGGGGGTCACTTTGAATTAAGTAACAGAAGTTGTTTTTGTTATGGATCACGTCACTTGTGACCTCAGGATCACGTCAAGTGTCAGAATCACGTCACTTATCACCGTATGAAGATCACGAGCCAAACTGACTCTCATTGTTACAGTTACAAAACACCTCAGCTTGTATATATTTGATAACTGCAGAAAAAGAAATATGTGGACCCCTATGTGAAAAAGAAATATGTGGACCCCTATGTGAAAATAAATATGGGGACCCTTATGTGAAAAAAAAAACTTGTTTAAAACGACATTTCACACTTGAATCTTTGTGAAAATTAATTAATACTAATAGTTTCGCTGTCTCTCTATGTATCTATCTGTCTGACAAGAACGCTCTAGAGAAAACACAAGGAAATTAAAAACTCTCACAGTGAAACGAAAGACGAAGTATGACGCGGTCACATTTAGCATAGAGTAGAAAATAATCTCAGTAATATGACGTCATTGTTTCTCGAGTAAACATTGAATACAAAGGCAATTTGGTCTAATCTAAGTGGTTTGCGTGAAGAGTTTCTTTCATACAATTCTTCGGGTAGGGGCGAAGCCCCACCCCCGCGTAAGAACGTCTGAGCCCCCCCCCCCCCCTCCCCAACTCAAAAAAAATTTCTTCATCGATACTCTATAATAAAATTACCGCCTAATTAATGTGTCTAATCTAAAAAGTGGTTTTCTTGCAATTTCTTTAATGCAATTCTTCGGGTAGTGGCTAAGCGCGACACCAGTGTTTCTTTCAGACTTTTTCCTCCCCGGAGAGGGGTGGGGGGTACTTGAAATTTTCGGTGGCGGGGGTAGAATTTTCGGGGAGGGGAGCGGACACTGGAAAAAGTATATAATTATATTTCGTTGAATGGGACGGTAGAAATTTTTTTTTTGGGGGGGGGGGGGGAGGGGGGTGGTGTGTGTGGGGGGGGGGGGTGGTGTGTGTGTGGGGTGGGGTGGGGTGGTTTGTGTGTGGGGTGGGGTGGGGTGGTTTTAGTTTAGACTTTTTCCTCCACGGAGAGGGGTGGGGGTACTTGAAATTTTCGGGGGCGGGGGTGTGTGGGGGGTGGGTTGGTTTTAGTTTAGAGAAAAGAGACAGCACTATCAGGTGTGTGGGGGGGTGGGGGGGGCGGTGTGTGTGTGGGGGGGGGGTGGTGTGTGTGTGGGGGGGTGGGGGGGTGGTGTGTGTGGGGGGGGTGAGTTGGTTTTAGTTTAGAGAAAAGAGACAGCACTATCAGCCTAGCGCCCGTTGTACCCTTCCTCAACGGGCCATTTTTTTCGTAACAAAGATAGTAGTACTAATATAATGTTTATAGCGTTCCTAACACGACCATCCCCTAATAGAAAAAAAGTGTGTTTACTCTATTGTTGATGTCTATACATGTTTTCAAATGACCCATTGTGTTTGTCCATTTCTTCCAGCCAACCAGAGAAACACGAGCGTCCAGCCCGGGCAGGGGGAGGTAAAACATCTCACGTGACCAGACCAGCCCAGGCAGGTCAACAAGAGGACGAGTTCCTTAAGGTAAGCAGACGTTCGCACCTCCATTGGCTCTTGTCTTTTACTGAAGTCTTCCGGAAAAATATCGGTATTTTTTTCCTTTGATAACGAGGACGCATCAACCGTGCACTTTGTTACTTACGGCACACATCAGCTTGACATTTTCTTAGTGTTTTCTTAGTGAGCCATTTTGTCATTAGGATTAAATGTGTGTTTGATTGCCTTGCTTAGTTAGCTGAAGACACTTCTGAACTGCTGGTATAAAAAATGAAATCAGATTTTAGTCAATTTTTAGTTCCTTATATCTCAGTCAGTTATCTAAAAATCTTTTTTTAAAGTACAGAGCTATTTACAGAATATTTGTATCAAAATGTGTTTAGATCGCCACCGAGAGTTCTATTTAAGTTTTGACATTTAAAATGGAACAAACACCATCAAAACACTATTCCACTCTTGACTTAGTGACAATTCTTGTTATTCCTTGAACAAATAAAATCACATTTCAGTTTAATTTTGAGCCGCATATAGCCTATTCCAGGTGAAACCGATGGTAAAGGTGGTGATAGAAATGTTTTAAAGTAGATTCCAAGTTTCGATTCAGACCTTTTTTTTAACCCCAGGGGCGGTAATCTAAGGGAGAGAAAAAAGTAAATAGCCATCTATAGACGGGATGTGACGTAACCGCAGTTTTAAAACTGCGAACATGTAAACAAAAACTGGCGTAGGCTGGCAGATTGTCTCCCGGGTTATCTGCCCCTGTCGTTGACGAAATTCTCTCCCCGCATTGCCCACTCACGACCCAATTTAAATAACCTAATGGCCGCTCATCGCCCGGTTGTCGGGCGCCTCATTGCCTGTGGTTGGGCTCCTCTGCTCCATCGAGTGTATCTTACATGGATCAGCGGTCAGTTTTTCACAGTCTAGTGGTCAGTTTCTCATAGCCTAATGGTCAGCTTCTCATAGCCTAATGGTCAGCTTCTCATAGCCTAGTGGTCAGTTTCTTATAGCTTAGTGTTCATGTTATCGTAGCCTTGTTGTCAGTCTTTAATGTGGTTGGATTGCTCTGTTCAATCGAGTGTATCATACATGGATCAGCGGTCAATCTTTCACTGCCTAGTGGTCAGCTGATCACATCCTAGTTGTCAGTCTTTGATGTCTAATGGTCAGTATTTGATGGCCTAATGGTCAGTTTTTTGTGGCCTAATGGTCAGTCGTTCATGGTCCAATGGTCACTCTTTGATGGCCTAATGGTCAGTCTTTGAAGGCCTAATGGTCAGTCTTTGATGGCCTAATGGTCAGTCGACCTAAAGGTCAGTCTATCATATCCAAGTCTTTGGGCTTGTCAACTCCATCTATTCACTCTTACCTATCCCGTCCGCTGGCCTACCCCCATCTAACTTTACTCTTGTTTTGTCCCCCTCCATCTGACCTCACCCTTGTGTTCCTCTATTCTATCAGACAGAACCCTACACGCCTCTACTATTCCGACATTACTCACGCCCCAGCATCTTGAAGTTCTCGCCTGTCACCCCTTGTACCACTCTATCGCCCAGCCCAACTACGCGCGCGATTCAACAATTCCGATGATTGATCACCCTCTGCGCATCGATCTCCCTACATGCAAATGTCTCCTTCTAAAACAATTTTTCCGTGTGAGGATCAAGTTGAAAACATTTAATATAAAAAAAAAATTGGCTCGTGATTGATCCGATGTTGGCTTGGATTAAAACATTTATCTTGTTATATATTGAGTGACACCGCTCATATGGGATATCCGCGAAACGAAATGAGTTTGTGAAGGCACTGTGTCATATTGTTGAACACGTCAGGAAAATGTTAGCATATGACGGTCGGAGCAGACGCGAGGGGTTAGTTGAGCTTCTGAAGCAGTTGATTACTGAGGTTGATTGGCGTGTTGTCATTTAAATATATTGAAAACAAAAGGGGGTGTTGATTTTTAAAAAAAAAATAGTTTAAAATGGTTTTGGAGATTTGGTATTCAATATTTGGTTTTGTTTTAAACTTATTTTACTGTTGTATTGTGGTGTGTTTTGTGTTGAAGTAATATTTTACTGTTGTATTGTGGTGTGTTTTTGTGTTGATGTAATATTTAACTGTTGTATTGTTGTGTGTATTTGTGTTGATGTAATCTTTTACTTTTGCATCGTGGTGTGTTTGTGTGTTGATGTAATTTTTTTTATTGTTGTATTAAAGTATGTTGATGTAACATTTTACTGTTGTATTGTGTTGTGTTTTTGTGCTGATGTAATGCTTTATTTTTTCTATTACGGTTGTGTTTTGGTGTTTAACTAATATTTTAGCGTTGTATTGTATTGTGCTTGATGTAGATGAAACGACTGCAAAACTGCGATGCTGTTAACGTCACTTACTATAAGCCTTCCCATTATTCCCCTTAACATTCCTTTCTAAAAAGAATTGAATTTTTTAAATCTTAAAAATGTATTCACGGCTATACATTTTGGGAGGAAATTCCCGATAGGTTAAATTTTTAAATGTTTAAATTACCATAAAGATTGCATATAGGAAAAAATGAATGACGTAGTGGCGTGGCTTAAAGTATATTTTGTATTCAAATTTTTCTGCCGGAAAACAATAATCAGCGATAACATTTTTTTATACATAACACAAAATGTTCTACAAGGCTAAATAATTAACGTAGCGTATTAACTGTTTTTTTTAGAAGTGTAATTTTTTAAAATTTATTAATTCAAAATATTTTAACATTAAAAACGGTGGATTTCTATGTTTCCTGTTATAGTGTTTATATAGTAGATTAAATCAGAATAGCAAATGTTGAATGCAAGCCTATTTGAATGAATGGACGGCGTGGTCTAGCGCTAGTCTGCTAACCCGAAAGTCTCGAGTTCGAATCCGGGTTCAAGTCAATAAAGCGTCCCCCAGTCCACCCAGGTTTGATGGGTACCTGATTCACGTTAGTGAAAGTAAAGGCGACTGCATCATTATGCTGACCACACTATCCCTTTTTTAGCCCAGGTTACAGGAACAGGTTCGAAAAGAGAACTTTATTATAAAAGGGAACTTTACCCTAGAAAAGAGAACTTTATTGTAAAGGGAACTTTACCCTAGAAAAGGGAACTTTACTGTAAAGGGAACTTTACCCTAGAAAAGGGCACTTTACTCTAAAGGGAACTTTACCCTAGAAAAGAGAACTTTATTGTAAAGGGAACTTTACCCTAGAAAAGGGAACTTTACCCTAGAAAAGGGCACTTTACTGTAGAAAAGGGAACTTTACTAAAAGGGAACTTAACTGTAGAAAAGGGAACTTAACTTAAGGGAACTTTGTTGCAAAGGGAATAAAACACTGGAATAAAAATTATCTGTTGCAGCCACTAGCCTTTAGAGGCGGCATAGTTTAGCATGTTAAATCACAATTTTTTTAAAGAGGTTTTAAATTCAATGTCTGAGAGAAATTTGGGATTAGAAAATCATCAGGAAAGAGAATCTATTAAAGTAGAGTAGGTAAAGATTTATTTTAATTTCAGTTTTTTACAAATAAATTTATCCCGTTTGAAAGTAAACTTTAGCTTAACATCCATATACATTAGTGCGTGTCGTTAAATGGATAAAAGGATTTGTTTTAACTCGAGGCATAATCAAACAAAACGTCAAAGTGCGAGCTAAAATACACATTGATTCGAAGATATCAGTTACGTGTTAAAAAGAGTATAATTAGATTAAGTGTGTGTGGGGGGGGGGGGGGGTTAAATTCATTCTAAAGAAGCAGCTCGAGGTGGGGATATTTGTATCGTGAGGGGGTGGGGGGGGGGGTTCTTTAAAGTTCATGCTTGAAAACTAGATGTTTGGGATATTTGTATCGTGGGGGGGGGGGGTCTTTAAAGTTCATGCTAAAAAAACTAGTTGTTTTGGATAATTGCATCGTGTTTATTAGTGAATAATTACAGGGGTTTCTTTAAATTTCATGTTAGAAAACTAGATGTTTGGATATGTGTATCGTGTTTGTAAGTGTTTAAGTAGAGAGGTTTCTTTAAAGCTCATGCTAGAAAACTAAATGTTTGGGATATTTGTATCGTGTTTGTAAGTGTATAATTAGAGAAGGATGTGGTCTTTAAAGTGCACGTCAGAAGACAGGTCCAGTTTTAGATATACGAACCTAACCTCCAAAACAGTGTGGCTAAATGAAGTACGTTTCTGTATTCACCCCAGACCTTACAGGATCAGCGACCCAGTTTGTTTCTAATGAGACTCCCCAGCCGCCGCCACCCTGACCCCCGGTCACCGAACGACCCCCCGACATGTGTGGGTAACACCGGCCCTAACGCGGGGTCCAGAACTTTCTTTATTACCCCCAGGAGCGGGCCTTCGCTGTTTCCGTCATGGCGACTCTCATTTCCGCCAAGGTCAAAGTTTGACGTGTGAGCATGGATGAATGGTGGGGGGGTGGGGGTGAGTAGTAACACGTGACATGGGAACGCACGAGTCCACAGGGTGGGAGGTGGTGGTCCTCCACTGTCAAGTCTTCACACTACAGTAGAAGGGAATCAATAGGCCCAGCTCTAGTTCCTAACACTTAAGATTACATATTACCTCTAAAGATTACATATTTCCTCTAAAGATTACATATTACCTCTAAAGATTACATTTTCCTCTAAACATTACATATTACCTCTAAACATTACATTTTCCTCTAAACATCACATATTACCTCTAAACATAGTACCTCTAAAGATTTCTTATTACCTCTAAAGATTACATATTACCTCTAAAGATTACATATTTCCTCTAAACATTACATATTTCCTCTAAACATTACATATTACAATTACAGTAGAAACCGTTTCTTTCTTACGTCGCTATAAGCATTGGGGGGGAGGGGGGGGGGGGGGATATAGCAACAAAAAAGTCCCTGGTGTACCACAGGGTCACTAAAATATAGAGACTAGGTGTCAAGTCATGGATGAACGACCTCCTAAGCATGCAATTTTGTGTATGACATCATGTCTGACACCCCCCCCCCCTCCCAT